CAAATTTTCTCCTTATGTACTTTATTCTTACTAGTGAAAGCAATATTAATGTATTAATCTTCATATTCTTGTAAATACTTTTACTGGCACTGATTGACACTATATAAAACTTTGCACTGGACATTGAACTAGGGCCTTACCTTAAAAGCCTATGAAGGTTTCTTTAGACTCCTAGCCCCATTTAAAGTTGTAGCTTTAATACTTTTATGTAAATAATTACCATAATGATTGGGCGAAATAAATAAATTAATCTTCTAGGATAAGCCGCCATCTTTGTTTTACGGCCTGTTCGCAGGCATACAGCCCTAATTAGTCGACCTGAGTGTTTAGCGCACGCACAAACTCGATAGAATAGTAGCAAAGACGTGTGGAGCGAAATTTGAAAATTTTAGTTTCGAAAGAAACGTTTTTGCTTTATTTTATAAACTGTACATTGTCCGATCTCTTTAAAAATGCTGTGGCTTCTTCCTGTATTTCTTAAGACAGCATTATACCTATTTGGTTGTCCAGTAGGCGGAATTTTATCGCTTTTCAGCAACGTTATTTATGCAGTGTTTTTAGTTTGTGTCATACCAATATATTTTTTGTATGCGGGGCCCGAAGCGGCTGTGAGATTTTCTTTACTGCTTTGTGTTCATTCACTGCTGTTAGCCATGGTTCCCCGGATAGTGGTAAGTTTAAAATGTGGAAAATTTTTCATAAAATTCTATTCAGTATATCAAATATACTTCGAACGAGTTGAACCCAAAATTTGTTGTACTGTAGTACTGTACAATGGGCCATTGCATTTTTAAACCAAACCCCCCCTATTGAGGACATCCATTTTTTGGACCCCCCTCCCCTGGAATTTCCACATTTTTTAAGCGAATTTTTTGCCTCCCCCGTGGAATTTCCGCAGATTTTTATTGAATTTTAGCCATCCCCATGGAATTTCCGCAATTTTTTTATGAACTTTTAACCCATCCCATGGAAATTCCTTGACAGTTTTTGATCTAGCCAGTGGAAATTCCATATTGATTCTTTGATTAGTAGCTATCCCTTGGAAAATTCCTTGCTGATTTTGATCCTATTCTTTGGAATTTCTTTTCCATTGTTGACCCTCCCATGGAAATTCCATACGTTTTACTCATTTTTCTTGTAACCTACCCTTTGGAATTTCCGCAGATTTGCTTTAAAATTTGGACCCTCCCATGGAAATTCCTTCATTTTTGGTTCACTTTTGCAGGGGGCCATTGGAAATTCCACATGTCCTCAATAGAGGGGGTGCAGATAAAAAATGCAATGGCCCAATGCAATATGGCTGATTCCTGCAATGTGCGGTTGACTGATTGTAATTTACTTCAGTCACATGTGAGAAAAGTGCTTCCAGTTTGACTCTGCCAAACATCACAGCAACACTGGGATCAATAGGAAATTGGCCTTTACAGCAATACTAGACCTCTAGAAAGAACAGTTTAGACAGTTAAGTTTATTACGATTTCTTCCGGTAGTGATATTGGATCATTACTTGCTGGATCTCTGGGGAGAACAGTTTAGAGTTATCAAGTATAAATAAAGTTAGTTTAGTTTAGGCCTAAAAAAAATACCTGTGGTTCCGGTTCCCGACCGACCCTATTTTTTTCTGCCGACCCTATTATTTTTTCAACGCCATTGACCGTGCGACCCTATTTTCTCCAGTTGGTTGCGGGCTGCTCATACAGCATGCCAAAATGGTGTCTGTTGTCACACTAATTATTGGACCAAAATACCTAAATTCGTCCATAGGAAATATGCATCTCTAGTTAATATTGATTTCGGGACTGTACTGAAAATCGTCCAGCAAAGACCCGCCAAAACCATGAAAAATATTCAAAAAAATTTCATTTCCGACCTACCGACCCTAATTTTTTCATGATATGAAACCAGAACCACAGGTATTTTTTTAGGCCTTAGGTTCCCTCCTGTAGTAACACTGGATCAATAAGAGATGATCCTTACTGGACCTCTAGAGAGAACAGTTTAGAATTTATAGAGCTTAGTGTAGTTAAATACTATAGTTTTCCCCTGGTAGATTAACAAGGAATGGTTCTTTTTGTACCTTCGGGAAGAATGGTTTAAAACATATAGTTAACAATTTTATTTCCAGAAACTTATCATTCCTATGGCAGAGTTAGTGTTATTTGTCGTCTTACTCTTCCTACCGATCAATGTGACTCCACCAATAGCAGTATGGTCATATGAGAAGCTGCTCTACCTATCATCACCCTTGCTTTCCGTGTTTGAAGCTATACATATTGTGTTGGTTATCATGAAAGCAAGTCAAATGGTTGTTGATCAAATGGAAGAACAGCCTAACTTAGTGAAGGTATCAGGTGTAACTTGCTAGCCACTGTAATTGCCCCTTAGTAAACAGGCTTTGGATCTGAAAGATTACCAGTCCTCCAGTTTATAAATGGATACAAGAATGTACTAATTTGGTTTCAATCCTTGAAATTCCCGGCTATGTATAGTTATCGATTGACCCATTGAGTGGCAACATTTTCCAAGTAAAACCATCTGGTGTTTGACAGAGTACTTAGAATAATAAAGTAGGGCACATGTATCATTGAAGGCACATTGTCACTTAAATAGTTAACAGGATGCATGGATTAACCTACTGAGTGGCAGGACTCTCCCCTTTATGGGTAAAATAATTTGGCATTAGACAGAGTAAAATAATAGAGTAGGGTGGATCAGGGTGCATTACTACTGAAATGGTTAAAATATGCATTGATGAAAGTTAATTGTCGAACTGTTTTCTAGTCTGTAATCCTTGGTGTGGCCGCCTTGGCGTGTTTACTTGGCTCTCTTTTATCTCGCTACATTTACACAGTGTATGCAAGCCATTCTATAAACAGGTGCGTGTTTGCGTGTAAATTTTTAAAATAAATTATTCTGGATTCACTCCTCGGGGTCCAATAATTGCCATATTACCTTATTGCTCCAGGATAAATTACCTGGAGAAAACCAGAGGTGTTCGGGAGAGTCAAACTGGAAGCCTGTTCTCACATGAGGTGAAATTATAATCAGACAACCATGTCTTGCTTGACAAATTTCACAATCATGCTACTATGTTATAAAAGAACAAATTATGTAGAACACACTCTCTCAAATAAAGGAGTTGACGTATGGAATTCATTAGAAACAAAATTTATAGATATAAATTTCTACAGCACTTTCAAAAAGCAAATTAAACAATATTTTTTACTATACAATCTATAAGATATGCTATAAAACATTCTGCTATATGACAAATTTAATAGTATATTGTAGTCTAATTCTTATAAGAACCCAAACGCATCTACAATATTGGTATTCACTTCTATAATAAGAACAATTTCTCTTCTCTTTCTCTCTTGTAAATATTCACTTCTATAATAAGAACAATTTCTCTTCTTTTTCTCTCTTGTAAATATTCACTTCTATAATAAGAACAATTTCTCTTCTTTTTCTCTCTTGTAAATATATTATATTCCTTTAATATTGTGATTGACTGTAAATAATTTATTACATAATATAATGCAAACTAACATAACTAGAGACCTAAATAAAAAGTCTACTAAGATTTCTAGTAGGTCTCTAGCCCGCACTCTACAATTGTTGTAAATATACTACACATAAATTTATTGTACATGGGGAAAATTTTTAAAATAAAAAAAAATAAAAATAAACTATCTCATTTTGTCTCTATTATATTTTTGTTCTTGTAACTACCTTTCTAAATCCCAGCAATGGACTTAATAAGGAAATTGGTACC